CCGCGCCGGCCCCCCGCTGCCCCCGAAGACCCAGCCGCGGGTCTCCTGCTCCGCCCCCCGAGCCACGTGGACTCTGGGCCTGAGGGTCTCCAGCACCCCCTCCTGCAGGAAGCCAACCTCCGGCTCTCCCAAGGGCCGCTCTGCTGGCCCCATGTCCCCTTGGAGGACTTTTTCACCGTGTGGACGATCCATCCGCGGCCCCAGCCGGTCTGGCTTCTCGCTCACTCCTGAGGTCCTGCTTTCCCACGCTTTCACCGTGCAGCAGCAACCTGGGGAAATGCAGACTTATGCTTAGCAGCGATCAGTCAGTGCACCTGGGAGGAAAAGGCACTGAGCTGTTCAAAGCCAACAAGAACAGAGGCTTTGCGTGCATGCGGAGACTGGAGAGTTGACTGTCCTCACTGCAGGCGCCCGGGCCCATGTCCTCTGCTTCCTCCCTCTTCCTTTCCCTGGCAGGAGACAGGCCTTTCCTTTTCCGCCTGACCCAGAGGCTCCACAGTCCTTGGTGGCCCAGGAGTCCCCGATCCCCCGAGATGGCTCTTCGGCGGCTTATGTTTCTCTCCCTGGGTTGTTGGTTGCTGGTTTAAGTTGGTCTGTGAGTCCACCAACTGGGGGTAGAGAGGTGGGCTTCTGCCACAGTGTCCCCTGTATCCCTGCCCCTGCTGTGGTGTGAAGCCCAGCCCCTTCGGCTGCAGGGTCTATGTCTGCAGGCTCCAAGGGGCCTGGGGTGGGCGGGGTGGGTCCTGTTTGTGTGCTCTTTGTATTCCTGGGTTTTCAATAAACTTGCCACGCTCATTCATGGAAGACTCTGGCCTCTCCTGGATCTTACTGGGGTGGGGGAGGTTGCCTTCTAGACTCCACTCACTTGCCTGCCTGCCCTGCTGAGGATTTGCCAGGGGCAGAGCTGGGGTCCTGGGCACAGGGGAGGCACCGAGGACAGAAGGCCCTTCCCTCAGGGGCTCCCAGCCCTGCAAGGCAGAAGAGATGCGGCAGAAGCTCTGGAGATAAGTGCCCACAGCCCGCTTCTCCCCCAGAATCGCCTTACACCTCAGAGGTGACCTCCTCTGCACCATGGCAAACGTTTCCAACTGTTTCCAGGTCCCACCTCCCCCTCCAGGCCCTCTGGGGTCATTGCAGGGCCCTCTTGGTCTTCCTGGGCCCACTCGTGTCTCCACCCAACTCATTCACCACAATGCTGCTGGAGGAGTCTCTGTCACATAGAAAACTGATCATGGCTCTCCCCTGCTAACTACCCTCAGTGGCTCCCCACTGCCTTCCAGAAATAGCCCAAGCTCCTTACGTGGCATGTAAGCCCAGCGTGGTGTGCCTATATACTTCCACCCCCTGCCATCCCCTCCATGCACCCCACATGCCACCTCTCATCTTTGATGTGTTCATTCAACAAACATCTGATACATGCCTACTGCATGATAGGTATGATGCTGGGAAAACAGTAATGACGAATGTTTGGTCCTTGCCCTCAAAGAGCAAGGGCATCTCTAACAAAACATGTCCAGAAACAAATTCCTCACCTTCCTTTGTCCCCCTCCAGGCTGCTCCTTCTACATGAATGGCAAGTCCATTCAGCTGCTTAAACCAAAAGCCCCTCAAGTTTCCTTTAATCTCTCTTTTTCTCTCATGTCCCCATATTAACCCATCAGCAAATCCTGCCAGCTTAACCTTCAGATAACATCCAGACTCCAGCTGCTTCTCACCACTTTCGTGGCTACCACAGAAGCCCAAATGGCCATCACTCTTGCTTGGACTATTGCAGTAGCCTCCTGACTGGTCTGTCTGCCTCTCCTCTCCCCCCACATTCAGTCCGTTCCCAAAAACACTGCCAGAAAGATCCTGGGGAAACTAAGCTGACTTCCAGTTCCATCCATGATAGAGTAAACCTATTACAGCCTCTCTCTTCTACTGATTACAACTTATAACTCCAGGTACAATTCAAAAACAACTATGTGAGGATTCTGAAAAGTAAACAGAAGCAGGTGCATTCTGGCAAGAGGACAAAGCTTGGAAGTGACCCTTCTGTTTTCTTCTCTTCGCTTGCATGGCTTTGAGCTGAGAGTGAGTCCTGGGTGTGGCCCTGTGGGGTCTCCTAAGACTCCAGAGGAAGACCCGTCATTCTAACCAGAGGAGCCAGAGAGAGGGACACCCTGTGTGCTGGAAAATATGGAGGGGGAAGCCCCATCTCTTCTCCTTTCTCTCATGCCTCTGCCCTGGGGCCAGTCCTTGAGATGGAGCTGTGTAGCACAATGGTGTGAGCAACCAAGATTCCAAGAGAAACCTGATCTTTCTGACGGGAGGAACCATGAAAAGGGGCCCTGGCAAAAGGGGTGGGGTGGAAGTTAAGAGAGGAATGCCGGAGAAGCTCCCACTGCATCCAAACTCCCACCAGTCCTTAGGTCTCCCATGAACTTTACATGCATGAGAGACCTAAAGCTGCGTGCCAAAGGCATTGAGAGCCCAAGTGAGACTGTAGCACACCCCAAGTTTCAGACAGACTCCTAAGTGGCAAAGATGCAGGACAGACACGAAGTAGCACAATGAAGGCCTGAAAGGACTGGCCAAATTTGGGATCACAGCCCTCAGAAGGAGAGGCAGAACTTGCAGCCTGAACCCAATCCGGCTGAAACCCTACTAAAGCAAAGCAAATCAAAATTAAAACTCTCCAGAGGATTTTAGCAGGACCCAGAGTCTACACACCCAAATATGCAGAATGTCCAGGACATAATCTAAAGTTATTTTGACATTCAAGGAATCACGTTAATGTGACCAATTCTCTCTTTTTTGTAACCTCTGAACTTTTTATTGGCCTTTTGCTCCCCCAAACGGCACCCTGCCTCCACCACCTCAACATCTCAGAACTTTGGTATCCTGGGTTTCAGACACCACTTTGCCATCCACCATCTTGTGGGTGGTGATCTTTTAGAGGGTCTGAATGGAGCTGCTGCTGTTCAGGGCATCATGGAGGCTGAAGTCCTCCCTGTTCACCAGCAGGCGACAGTAGGTGGCCATCACAGCCTGCAGCTTGAGCTTGATGTTCAGCAGGGCCTGGTACTCCTGGGCCTGGTGCTGACCCTCTGTCCAGGCCCATGCCAGCTCAGATTCCAGGTGCAGCAGGGTGCCATTCAACTGCTCCATATGCATGGCACTGGGGGGCCTTCACCTCCCTCACGCTGTTCTCCAAGCTGGTCTTCAGGTTTCTCATCGAGTCCAGGTCAGTCTCCAAGGGTGCTTGAAGATCTCTCTACATCTCAGCTCTGTGAGCATTATCTTGGTAGGTCAGATCTCGGCAGACTACATGGTGACCACTGTGGTGCTTTCCTCAACCTGCTGGACCCAGTAGGAAAATATGACCAATTATTAAAGAAAAAGAAACTCAACAGATGCCAATTCCAAGATGATACAGATGTTGGCATGATCACACCAGACCTTAAAGGATGGTCATAACCATATTCTATGAGATAAAGGTAAACACATTTGAAATGAACAGAAAGGGAGAAGTTCTCAGCGGAAAATAGAAACTACAAAAATAAAACCAAATGGAAATTTTAGAATTGAAAATTATACTATTTGAAATGAAAAAAAATCATTGCTGGACTCCACAGCAAAAAGCAGTGGGCAAGAGAAAGAGCTGTTAACTCGAAGATGATCAATAGAAATTATTCAGTCTGAAAAATAAAGAGAAAAGATGGGAAAAAATATTTTTTCCAGACTTTAAACTTTATTATAAGGCTACAGTAATCAAAACAGCCCCATATTGGTACAGGAAGAGACATATACACCAATGGAACAGGATAGAGATTTCAGAAACAAAACCTCAATTTTTCAACCAACTTATCTTTGACAAAGCCTCCAATAGCAACTACTGGGGAGAGGAAAACTTATTCAGTAAATGGTGCCAGGAAAACTGGTTGGTCACATGCAGAAGATTAAAATAAGATCCCTACCTATCATAATACACAAAAATCAACTCTAAATGGATCAAAGACCTAAACGTAAAATCTCAAACTGATGTGGATTTTTCAGGTCAACCTGGGCTTCAAAAGTGTCAGCTCAATGGGTCAGTCAACAAAGCCCTAGAGAGGGTAGTCTGGAGGGGCTGGTAAGCCTAGCCCTGGAAGTGTCAGCTCTAATGGGCTGGCAAGCAACGTCCTGAGAGTGTTGCTGGTTCAGTGGGCTGGCAAGCCAACCCCTGCGAGTGTCTCAGCTTCAGAATCTTGCCTTCTCCCAGCAGCTCTCCTGGTTCAGCCGGCTCCATAGGCTGGCAAGCCAGCCTCTGGGGTGCACAGCTTTTCGGCTCCAATGATCTTCTGCAGTTCTTCAGGTTGCAGCTCTTCAGGGTCTAGATTCTCGTCTCACGCCCAGGAAGAATGAGGTACACTGACAGCCGGAAAGCGAGAAAGCAGGATTTATTGAGGACAGAAAAGCTCCCCACAGCAAGAGGGTACCCAAAGGGGTTGACCCAGGAAAAAATATTTTTAAGCTGGAGAAAAATGACACACTGCATACAGGGGAATCACAATTCCAATAACCGTAGATTTCTCTTCAGAAACCATAAAAGACAGGTGACAATGGCACACAACCTCTAAAATGCTGGGGGTGGGGAGAGGAGCTGTGAAGACAGAATTCTGTAGCCAGAAAAAACTACCTCTCAGAAGCAAAGAGAAAAAGTCAACAAAGCCACCAAACAAAAAGACATTCTTGGATGAAGGGAAAGCAAGAGGACTCACCCCCTGCAGACCTGCTCTGAAGGGAAATGTCAGAGGGAAACAGGGAACTTGGGTAGTGAAGAAAGAACAACAGAAAGGGTAGATGTCTGGGTCAATATCAAAGGTTATATTTGCTCCCCTTATATATTTTTTTTGAGTTGGAGTCTCACTCAGTCGCCCAGACTGGAGTGCAGTGCCACCGCAGCCTCGACCTGCTGGGCTCCAGCGATCCTTCCGCCTCAGCCTTCCAAGTAGCCGGAATTACAGGTGCGCACTACCACGCCTGGCTAATTTTTTGATTTATTGTAGAGATGAGGTCTCATTGCCCAGGCGAGTCTCGAACCCGCGGGCTCAGGCAATCCACTCACCTCAGCCTCCCAAAGATGCGGAATTACAGGGCTGAGCCACGAAGCCCGGCTTCCCCTTATATTTTGAAAAAATATGTCGGGCTACAGAAACCAAAAGTAACTGTCTGGTGGGGTTTCAATGTACATAGATGCACAATCTAGGGCCACTATCACATAAAGGGAGAAAGACAAATATAAGTGATTGTGAAAAATTCCATGATGTGCATTACATCTCCAGATTAGCCATTAAAAATAATACACAGAGTCTCAGAAGTGAATCAGTACATTAAAAGAAATTTTTAAAATATTTAAATTAGCTAAAGG